CACCCCAGCCTCTTGAATAGCTGAGACTATAGGCACACGCCACCACATCCAGCTATTTATTTATTTATTTTTTTCAAAGACAGGATCTTGCTCTGTCACCCAGGCTGGAATGCGGTGGTGCAGTCATGGCTCACTGCAGCCTTGACTTCCTGGGCTCAAGCAATCCTCCTACCACAGCCTCCCAAGTAGCTGGAACTGCAGGCATGTACCACCATGCCTCACTAATTCTTAAAAAAAAAAAAAAAAAAAATTCTGTAGATATGGGGTGTCACGATGTTGCTTAGGCTGCTGACTAATTTTTCATAAGGACGGTAATCCTATTTGTGGGGGCTCTGGTTCCTGTTCTAGTCACCTCCAAAGGCCTCATCTCTCTCTTTTTTTTTTTTTTTGAGACAGATCTTGCTCTGTCGCCAGGCTGCTGGAGTGCAGTGGCAGGATCTCGGCTCATTACAACCTCTGCCTCCTGGGTTCAAGCAATTCTCCTGCCTCACCCTCCTGAGTAGCTAGGACTACAGGTGCATGCCACCACACCCAGCTAATTTTTGTATTTTTAGTGGAGATGGGGTTTCACCATGTTAGCCAGGATGGTCTCGATCTCTGGACCTCATGATCCGCCCGCCTCTCTCTCCCAAAGTGTTGTGATTACAGGCGTGAGCCATTGTTCCTGGCCAGGCCTCATCTCTTAATAGCATTGCATTGGGGATTAGGTTGTCAACATATGAATTTTAGGAGACAGCAGGGTTCAGACCATAGCACTAGTTAAGGAAGTTTTAATGGCGTATTTTAATTTTAATTTATTCTTATTGCTTAAACTACAATGATATTGATGTGGAGACGTATTTCTGATTAGGTGATCAAGTTATAATTGTTAACCTCAATTTAATTCCCAACACAAACCTAAAATTTTTCTTAAAATGCAAATTAAAAATATTATGAAATGAAGATATGTCTGTTGCAGACATTTGTTTTAAAAAAAGGAAAAACGGGCAAAAAAAGCCTAGAGAATATATTAATGTTATCACTACAATTTCCAGCCTAGCAAATACAAACTCCTTGGCTTATGTTCTTTTTTAAAATTCAGTAAAGTTTTCTGGAATTGTGGTTTTTACTGTCTGTCCCATTCCTTTGATTTGCTTCTTCAGGAATTCCTGTTACCTTTATGTTGGATCCCAAAAGAGACTTAATCATACTATTTCTCTTGAATACTTTTTCTTCACTGGAGCTGGATTGTGGAACCTTTAAATTTCCTTTTTTTTTTTGTTAGACAAGTTTGCATGAGGAATAAAATTTACAAAAAAATCATTTTTCACCTGTTTCTCTCTTTGTTGAATTATACTGATTTTTTAACAGCATTATTACGTAAATAATTGATATAAACTTTATAGTTACAGCATACAGTTTGATAACTTTTGAGATCCACACATCTCCATGAAACTATCACTACAAATAGTTTAGCGAATATAACAATCATGTCCCAAAGTTTTTCTTTGCCACTTTGTAATTCCTATTTCTCTCTTTTCCTTGCATTCCTAGCCTATCGTGAACCTGCTTTCTATTATTACTGATTTGTTTGCATTTTCTAGAATTGTATGTAAATGGATTTTTATGGTCTAGTGTCTTTTGTTTAGTGTTATTTTGAAATCCAATTATGTTACTGCATGTTTCAGTACTTCATTCTTTTTTTTTTTTTTCGAGACAGAGTTTCACTCTTATTGCCCAGGCTGGAGTGCAGTGGCATGATCTTGGCTCACTACAACCTCTGCCTCCTGGGTTCAAGCGATTCTCCTGCCTCAGTAGCTGGGATTACAGGTGCCTGCCACCACGCCCAGCTAATTTTTTTTTTTTTTGGAACAAGGTTTCGTTCGTTGCCCAGGCTGGAGTGCAGTGGCATGATCTCAGCTCACTGCAACCTCCGCCTCCTGGGTTCAAGCGATTCTCCTGCCTCAGCCTCCCGAGTAGCTGGGATTACAAGCACGCACCACCACGCCCAGCTAATTTTTTTGTATTTTTAGTAGAGACAGGGTTGGTCTTGAACTCCTGACCTCAGGTGATCCGCCCACCTCAGCCTCCCAAAGTGCTGGGATTACAAGCATGTGCCACCACGCCCAGCTAATTTTTTTTTTTTTTTTTTTTTTTTATTTTTAGTAGAGACAGGGTTGGTCTTGAACTCCTGACCTCAGGCAGTCCACTCACCTCGGCCTTCCAAAGTGCTGGGATTATGGCGTGAGCCACCGTGCCCAGCCGTTATTCCTTTTTTATTGCTCACTACGATTGTATTGTGTGGATATATCACAAGTTTTAAAATCCATCCATTTGTTGATGGGTATATTAGCTATCTATTGCGGTATAACAGATTATCCAAAAACTTAGCGGCATGAAACAATATGCATTTATTATCTAACAGTTTTTTGGCCAGGGATTTGGGAGTGGCTTATTTGGGTGACTGGCGTAGGGTTTTTCATGAGATTGCTGTCAAGATGCTGGATGCTTTGAAGTCATTTGAAGGCTTCGCTGACATATCCAATTCAAAGATAGTTAACTTCTATGGCTGTGGGCCAGAGGCTTCAGCCTCTGATCTTCTGACCAAGGATCCTCTTTGCAGGGATGCTTGAGTCTTTTTTTTTTTTGACACGGTGTCTCACTGTGCTGCCCAGATTGGAGTGCAGTGGTGCTGTCTTGGCTCACTGTAATTTTTGCCTCCCGGGTTCAAGCGATTCTCCTGGCTCAGCCTCCCGAGTAGCTGGGATTATAGGCTCCTACCACCACCCCTGGCTAATTTTTGTATTTGTAGTAGAGATTTGGTTTTACCATGTTGGCCAAGCTGGTTTCAAACTCCTGACCTCAAGTGATCTGCCCACCTCAGCCTCCCAAAGTGCTAGGATTACAGGTATGAGCCACCATGCCCAACCATGTTCTTATGGAATCTGGTAACCACTAAAACAAGTGATCCAAGAGCAGCATGAACAAAGAGAAAGTTGCAATGCCTTTTTTTTTTTTTTTTTTTTTTTGAGACAGAGTCTTGCTGTGTTGTCCAGGCTGGAGTGCAGTGGCGTGATCTCGACTCACTGCAACTTCTGTCCCGAGTTCAAGTGATTCTCGTGCTTCAGCCTCCCGAGTAGCTGAGATTACAGGTGTGCACCCCCACACCCAGCTGATTTTTGTATTTTTAGTAGAGATGAGATTTTGGCCTGTTGACCAGTCTGGCCTCTAACTCCAGGCCTCAAGTGATCTGGCCGCCCTGGTCTCCCAAAGTGTTGGAATTACAGGCATAAGCCACTGCGCCTGCTGGAAGCCTCAATTCCTATTATGACCTGCTCTCAGAAGTCACACATTGTCACTTTCCTCATGATATTATTTGCTAGAAATAAGTCACAACATCCAGCCCTCACTCAAAGAGTAAAGAATTCGTTTTTTTCTTTCAAAGGCTGGTTTTGAGGGGAGCAATGTTAAAGAATTTGTTGTCATATTTTAAAGCTACTGCAATGGACTTTGGGTGGTTTTTAGGTTTTGGCTATTACAAATAAAAATGCTTTTAAAAATATATGTAAAAATCTGTGTAGACATAGTTTTATTTCTTTGCGTAAATAGGAGTAAAATGGCTAGTTTGTAAGATAGTGTTATGTTTAAATTTTTACTACTTTTACACTGAAGATTTAAGATATCTGTAATACCGATTTGTTCTTGGATTCCTTCTGGTTTAGTCCTTTTTAAATTTTATTCTACTTCTTAAGTTTTGTCACCTCATTTCTGAGTTTTTATTCTGAATGTTTTATCTTGTTTTAAAATTGTAGTTTACCATTTTATCTGTTTTGTGTGTCTTTGATGT